TATGGTGGTTAACTGGTCACTACATCACTGTTTTCTTGTCCCATTTTGCAAACTTGGTAGAACTGGTCCCTGTTTGTTTCTGGATCCGAAACTGGTTAATAGATTGGATTTGGGTGGTTTGTACTGAAACTATCTCAATAATTCTCAATATGTGTGGTTAACATTGGGGGTCCGAGTCCACTTGGCCGGCAAAACAAGATGATTCGTAAAGAAAGATTGATGAGCAACCATCTTGTTTTATGTCAACTTAAATACTCGTTGCTTTACATGTGTTTTAAACTTCAATTCCCGGAAGTCAGAAATATGCAGTCTCCTACCATCCAGTCGTCTCAGGAGCAATCCTACTGAGCGTCTTGGCTTGCGCTTGAGAGGAATTGAGCGAAAACCCTAAGACTTCCAAAGAGTCAACATTTATGGCTTCGATTTATGGATATTTTAGGATAGAGTATTTGATATTAATTATAGATCTTTGGGTCAAAAACTTTAGCCCCAAAGATTATCGTATCAAGAAATTAAGTGCTGTAGCGAGAAAGCCCAGACATGTTTTGATCCAAATGATTCGCCACAAAGTGGCCAATCTGGAATCATCTGCGCCCATGTAGCCTCCAGTAAACGTTTACATAGATGTGGAAAACCTATACGTTTATTATTTCTAGACGATTTTCATCATCAAACCATAGGTTATAAACCTTTAGTGTAAATCCAGATTCCAAGATTCTCTGCTTCTTCCTGGCCACTTCTTAAAGAACAGCTGGGACGCAACGCGGCAATCGACAGCCGAACAGCCAGCCAGCCTTTCAGGTTTACCAGCTTTAGCGAAGAGAAGAATCGCCAGTCCTACGTCTCACAACAAGCTGCCCTGGAAGGCTTGGAGGACTGACGGGAGACGACGGGATGTTTGTCCTGGTTGGAGGTTTCTCAAATAAGTTAAGTTGCTTCTCAAAAAAACACTTGCAAATGATATTGGTTGCAAGTTGTATTTCTTTGAATGTTTTGGGATTTTCCCGGTTCAAGTTGCAATTTCTTTGAAATACATCTATTTTAAGACACACCAATCTATGGAAATTCTATGATTCTTGTTCACTTTCAAACGTTTTGGAACTTTGAGATCAGAACTCAGAGTTTGTCGATAAATCGCATGAGTTGGTACCGAAGTTTTGCACAGATTCGCACAGGACGTGAATGGAGTGGATGATGATGGCCTTCCCTTGGTCTATTCTGTGGAACGTGGCCGGGTTGATGTGAGGGAACTCCACCAAGACGGATAAACCACAGGAGTGATATAGGAGTCTTGTTTCTTCGCGGATAGGAAGAAAAGTAGGTCAATCTTGAAGGCATCAACTTTGTGATCGATTAATTAAAAAACAACATTCATATCATTGAACATGAACCTTGCATATTCGTTGTATTTCGATTTATATTTTCATGATCAATGCTGGCATATCCGGTGTTCCAATCCGAATATTTGTGGGCAGGTCAGAGTTTGGGTCTGCACTGACCATGGGTGATCTGAAAATATCTGAAATACTGCTAGGTGACGTGGTTGGGACATTGACATAAACCATCTCATTGGTGCATGTGATTGGATGAACAGATTGGACACCGTTATATAGATTGTTTCTATATTCATATATATATATATATGTGTCTATATCACAACAGGAATTCAATCTACATATCCTAACAGTTTGTTTCTTGATCTGATTTGTTTCATGAACAATATCCTAACACTTGAAAGATGTTGAAACTTTGAAACTAGAATTTCGAGCCACGAAAAGCTTAGGCCCAGGCAGCGTAGGAATTGGGCCAGTTTTGCCTTTTGGGCATCGTCCAGGGCCTAACCGCAGATTCTACCGCCTGAGGCATTGCAAACTTCTGGGTGTCTTCGACAGCACTTATTGCAATGACCCATGCTGGGTGCCGGTTCGCACACGGTTCGCACAAGGGAACTCGCTTGGGGTCATGGCTTTACAGCTGGGGGTCATGGTGAAAAAATCTGTTGAACTTACTCCCAAGTTATTGTTTAGTTTGAGAAAATATCTCAAGTCTAGTCCGTGAAGCTCAATGTTTTTTTTTTCTGAACAACTTGGGAAAATCTCATTCCATATTCGTTAACCATCATGTTCATTTAGGCAATGCCTATTCTTCAATGGCCATAGCCGGGGGAAATCGTGATAATCATGTTGAACCCCATTCCATCGATTGGTTATGCAATCATCATGATGCTTATGAAAATAACATAAAATCATAATCATGTCCCATTAAATCCAATGAAATGCCATGTGGGGGGTTTGGTCCCCATTTTCAGACACCTGATAGGGTGAAAATCCCGATAGGTTGGCGTGGTCACAGTTGCAGTCGGAGTCCAGAGTATGTCAGAGTCATTTTATAGATTGCATATGTTCATATATGTTCATACATACACGAAATAGCAGGATTGTTACTTTTTCTTTTTTGAAATACTTCAAGAGGTGGGCGTTGAATCCACTTTTCAATCACGTGTCCCTGAAAACGGTAGGGATAGAGTCTCAATGAATCCAATTCATAGATATGAACATAGGGATGTTCATCACTTGTAGATAGGGTTTTAACATCTGGGAGTCAAGCCCAACCCATGATTCTCATCATTTTAGTGGGATGTTCACATCCATAAATCATATTAAATCTGCGGTTGGGAAACTTGAACAGAGTACCACTGCACCCCCACTAAGGTCTTTTTAAGTTTTTCACAGTCGTTGAGACGTCCTCCGACTGTTGCAATTTGGCTCAAGGCTCAAGGCTCAAGCCATTCAATTGGCTCAAGGCCAATCAACCAACTGGCTCAATTTACCGAGCCCAATCTGGAGTGAAAGGTGCAGCAGCATCTGCCTCTTGGTGGGGACCTCCGGGACGGGACTCGGTTGTAGTCTGACTTTAGAACCCGTGGGTTATGAGCCCAACCCCAACGCTGCCCTGAAGCCATGTCGAGCAGCGACTTCACTCAGCGTCGTCGACAAGAACATCAAGGTCAGGCGGCTGCTCGTGCTGAGGAAGAACGCGCGGAAACGGCAGATGAAAAACTGGATCGGCTTCTGGAAGAGATGAACACACCTGGAAAAGAACATGGGGAAAAAACAGGGACAAGATCATCAGACTCGACCCGAAGATCACTGACGGGAAAGGTGGGAAAGGGAGTTGGAGAAAGGGGAATGGCACTGACCGGTGCTGGGGGAAGTGGAGCCCTAGCGCAGGTTGTGGCGGTCCGAGCTGGAGCGGGCGAACAAATTGCCCAGAATCCGGCTGTTGCGGAAGAAGTCGCAAGACCAGTGTCCTTACCACCTGAAGAACCTCCTGGACTTGAAGTGGTACGAGGAAAAGGGAATGGTAGTCTGTTGTCTGGTTTGACCCCAGGTGTGAATAGTCTAACTCTTTCGGGAGTGCCAATGACACAAACACCAGTAGTTGCCCGGATGTCTGAGGGATTTCGTGGACCACCTGTTGTGGGTAATCGAGAAGAAGGACAGGGTGGAAAACACCAAAGCTCAACTGAAGTGGGTGGAGGTGCGGCTACTGTTGTGGAAACAGTTGCTCTTTTGGAGAGACCGGGACGTTCACCTGTTGAATCTCCTGAAGATGCACGTATCAAACAAGTGGTGCCAGCGGCGCCAACAAGTCCACCTGTGGCCTGCCAGCCAGCGGGAGCATATGTGGTGTATACCGCAACTGGTGAGGCACAGGGTTTGCAAGCAGCTGGGATGTCCCAGCAATCAATGTGTGCTGGTGTGCCACCTACGGGAATGGCACCTCAGTGGGAAACTGCAGTTGTGGATCCTGGGATGGTAACTGGGGTTATGGCTGTAGAAGAAATGAATCCCTGGAGTGCTGCAAAGCGAGTGGAAGCTCTAATGAGCAGCCCGCAAACTCCAGTGAAGGAGCCGACTTATCCCGTAGTATCGCAAGACCTGATTGATCAGGCTGACGCCAGGGAGAAAGAAAAGTTTGAAGAGTTGAAACAACATGTAATGGAAGTCCTTCAGCGGGGCAAGACTGAGATCCAACAAGATCGAGAAAATTGGTTAGCCACGCGGGAAGAGAGACGTGCCCTAGAAAGGGTCCAAGAAGCAGGAGGAGGTCACAAGGGCTCTCAATCAAGTGGGAGGTCTTATCAAACCGCCTCTCCGGAGCAAAAGAATGTCGAGCAGTGTTTTCCTGTGGGGCCATCTCAAGGTGTTCCACCCCAAGGACAACCTGTACAAGATCAAACAGTTCCGGGAGTTCAACATCATCACGATCAGGATCTTCAAATGAAGGCGGGAGGTCCGTTGTGGAATGTGCCTCCTGCGCCCAGGGTCGAACCATGTCTTCGGCCGATGGATGTGTATATGAATCAAGGGTGGCTGAATGGAATACCACCGGGAGGTATGCCGCAGGGAGCGGCGTCAAGACCACCGATGGGAGCTCCTTGCATGGGAGCCACGGAAAACACAAGACACTTTTTCATAGGTGATCAACCTAATCAATGGTATAATCCTCAAGCCCAAGTTGGAGGAGCACCTGCAGGACAAGATCAACGACCTCAAGGAGGTTTTGCATTTCCGGGTGGAAACACCGGACCTATGGGTGGGTATGGTTGGCCGAGGGGTCCACCGCCAGGGCAGTATGGAAATCCGGGACAAGCGCCTGGTCCGCCAGGTGGTCATCAGGGAGATCCAGGTCCGCCAGGTGGTCATCAAGGAAATCCAGGACAAGCTGTACCGCCACCAACAACAAGCTGTAGTCCAAGCAGGACCTCAGGCAGGGGGAGAAGTACCAGGCGAAACGCTAAGGTCGGTCGAATTGCCGAAGCTGGACAGGAATGCAGCATCTTTGGACTTTGGAGACTGGCTGACAGTTGTCCAACAGATGATTGGGGATGTGAGCTACACCTCAGCGCAATGGTGGGGAGTAGTGATGACTGCTGTTGAACAAGCATACCATCACTGGTTGCAAGCGGATCCACTCATGAGGCTCCGGATGGCGCCTGTGATACCTGACATGGCCCGTGGGTGGCCTCGCACAGAGAACCGGGTGGTGGGTATGCTGCTTCAAGCTGTCCCCAAGGACATCTGCGAGGACCTTGTGGCGAACAGACACATGTCAGCGGGTCAAGTCATGTTCAAGCTGTACACCGTCTTCCAACCTGGAGGACAAGTGGAAAGAACTTCTCTACTACAAATGTTGGTGAACTGGAAGGGTCCATCCAATAATGCTGCAGAGATGGTCAACTCCATCCGGAAGTGGAGAAGATGGGTGGTTCGTGCCGAAGAACTTCAATTAGTTTTACCCGATCCTCTGGTTTTGGCCGGAGTGGTCGCAAAAATGAGTGATGCACTAGCCAGGTTGGGGGGAGCTCAGGCTGCATACCGGTTGTCCTCGGTGAGACAGCATTTGGGCATAGATCTCCGGCCGGGAATGCAAGAGATCAGAACGTTTTCTGAACTTCTTCAAGCAGAAGCTGGTGAAATGGCTCTCCGTCAACCGGGGAACACAACACAGGGCCCAACGACTAAGCCCAACAATGTGGTAGGGGTGAAGTCTATGAGTGGACCGGATCAATCTGGAAATCAACCAAAGGGCGGTTCAAAAGGAAAACAAGATGATGCAGCTGGCTCTTCAACCGGAAGAAGGGGGGAGAAACCGGAGCTGCCAATTAATGCGGCGAATGTGGTCCACAAGACTGCGTGCGTCAACTGGTTGACCGATAGGGGGTGCCGATATGCAGAACGATGCCGGTTTGTGCACACCGTCTTGGACTCCAAAGATGGCCGATGCTTCAACTGTTCTGGAAAAGGGCACTCCAAGCGTGAGTGTGCTGCTGGGAAAAGAAGTGAGTCACGTGAACCAAAAGGGGGGTCAGTAGGAGAAGGAGATGCGGGCGCACCGGAAAGCGTTGAAGGTGGATTGGATGAGGCGGAAACTGCCGCGCAAATCACTCCGGAAAATGAAGAAGTGATTCAAGAAGTGAACCATCTCCTGAAAAGCATTACTGGACCCATGCTGAAGACCATTGGTAAGAGAGCGGAATGTGGACCGTGCGAAGCGAAAACCGTAAAGGTCACTCCAAAAAATTCTATCAATCCCGGACCCGAACGAGCCGCTCAAGCGGTTCACCAGCAGGCTCCAAGTCCAAGGTTACTTGAGCCCTGGGAAGTTATGTAAGCAAAAGTGCAAGCTACTCCTGTAGCCATGTCAACTTGGTACTGGGGTTCCCGTGGGTCTGTAAACTTTGATGTGTCTCAGGTCTTGTCTGACACATGGCATATCATGGCATGTTTCTTGCCTCGCAAGCCTCTGAACTTTGAAATGGTGGCCTGTTGTGGCGTGCTGGTAGCTTTGCCAGCCACCTTGTGCCATTAAATTGTGTTGAAACTTGTTCTCCCACCCGCCCGCCTTCGAAGAGTCTTTACGCCCCCCCACCCCACCCCACCCACCCCACCTCACCCCACCCACCCCACCCACCCCACCCCACCCCCACCCCCCCTACACGTCCATTCTGAGCATTACAGATTTGATGTCATGAGACTGCGTCACTGAGTTGATGGACTTTTGTGCAACATGGTGGTGGCAGCAAAAGCGAAGTGACATGCAGTCGTACACCGTGCTACAGCTTCGTGTGCTGATGCTAAGTTCTGACTACATGCATGCAAACTCTAACGCTATATCACATCAAGCATGGGGCTACCTTAATTCAAGGAGTCTATCTTAACTCAAGGGGGCTTTGCAAGAACACATGGTTTATAAACAAACAAGTGGTTTATAAACTGACATTTTTGTTTCCCATGGGGCCCCCAAACCGTGGTGAACCCATAACCACATATAGATATATGTGTATATATATATATATATGTAAATATATGTGTT